GAGTCCGCATGTTGTACAAGCTTGCTGGTGAAGTGGTTCAGTTTGGGTTCAAGTTTCTAGTCTTCCTGATTTTGGACAGGGATTTGAACATTGCTCCCAGCCCAGGAGCTTTAAAACCAGTCTCAGTTAATATTTAATTATATAACCTGGAACAACTCTAATAGGAGAGTGACAGAAAACTCTATAGCCTGATGATCTTTCTAGCTTTCCAGAGCAGATAGTTGAATCCCTACCACTGCTCCTTGCCCCCCAAATATCAAAAGCCACCTAGGCACTCTCTCTGACTCTGGTTCCTGATTGAAAAACTTCAAAAGGTCTTGAGTTCATTTCTGTGCTAAAGGGGGAAAAATGACGGAGTCTTAAAAATATTTGCAAAATGGTAAAATTGTTTACTGCCAAGCTCTGTTTAGGAGCCAAAATCCTACTGTGCGCAGTTTTATTTATTGGAGGCATTTGAAGGTGAGGTGGGCCTAAGCTGAACTTGTCCAGAGGCTTCTTCGGTCACTTTACAGTTGCATGCACCACAGCAGGATTGTCTTAGTAGGATTTTTCCATTGACATACCCTTGACACATGCCCTGTAAGGCTCACTACAGCCCCATCCACGAGCATCCTTCCCTTCCCACCCCACATTGCCACAGATTAATTCCAGTGGCAGTGATATGTATTACAAGATATTATAAGATACCCTGTACTGCTGCTTTCGGCTCATTCTCTTGTACCTCATATGGGAGTAGATTTTTAGCTAGGTAAATATTTGGCCCATGATATTTTATCCTATATTTTATCCTATCTATATTTAATATCTATTCTTTTATTATCCCATCCAGCCTAATAACAGAAGCCAAAGTCCTTTTGTTGTCAATATTGAAAATAATATTGTGGCCTGCATCTTACTTTTTCAGATCCACAGCTCCTCTCTGCTAGGAAATCTTGTAGTTTTAAAAAACTGTTGGAAGGAGATGAGTTAGCTCATATGATCCTGACTGCCTGACCAGTAAGCATAGAGAAAGATGAGTCATGGTGGGCACGGTGTCATGATTTCCTACTGCGAACAAGCCTAAGGAGGAAGAGTATTTTAAAGTGTGAAGACAGGTTTCTCCATTCCAACTGAAACCAGTCTTCTAGTGTAGCAGGTGATTGTCAAGATTGCTAGGGCTAGCAAAAGGGGTACTTGTTCTACCTATTTCAGTGAGGGGTACAGCCCCCCATTACTGAAGTCTCTAAACAGCTCATACTCTTTAATTTATTTATCTTACAGCCCCCATTTGAGGCAAGGAAGTGCTGTAAATTCATTTCATGCAGTAGGTGCATCTACACATGCGGTTAATAAGCAGCAATAAACTGTGGCACACACCGTGCTGGAATTTATTGCCCCTGGGCACCATGTTTACATGGGCACCCGGGACTGCAGCATGTTGAGCTGGATTGGAGCAGCCCCAATTGGCAAGGTGCCCTGGGGTCAACTGCCAGCCGAGGGCTGCTCCAACCTGGCCCAACATGCTGTGGAGGGGCTGGCTATGGGCAGGCAGCCCCCTCATGAAACACCCTTGTGCCTCAGCCAGCCCCATCAGTGTCTACACATGCGTTACAGCAGAGGAAACAACACCACTGCAGGATAGTATCTGTATTTGCAATGGAATTAATCAGTTTACTCCATCCTAATAGCATTGCATGTGTAGATGCGAAGACATTTAATGCGGAGCTATTTAGGCAACTCTGCAGTAAACATCTAGTGTAGATGCACCCAGAGGGCCAAGTGGCTTGCCTGAGCTTACCCAGTAAACTTGTGACAGAGCAGCAATATGAAGTCATGTTTCTGTCATTCCTGGCCGGCTCCCTAACCACTAGGCTGCACTCGAGAACAAATTGCCTTTGTTATACTAAGAATTCTTGCAGTACCTTCCCCCCCCCCCC